CAGTATACATTTCACGATTGGGAATGAGATAATGAATGGTATCTCAAGTTGTTGCATACATGCCTGTGCACTGCAAGTCGATGTCTCTAAAAGTGCATGAATTTTAAAATACTCTGTAACATTCAAGTAATAATCAGTGCGCAATTATATATTTGTATCTCTTACGTCGTTGTACAGCCAGGTTTTATAATAAACAGCGACGTACGGTATGATAAGAAGATATGCATGTTCGTCAAATAAGAAAGATTCACGTTAATTAATTGCAATAATTGATACCTTTTTCTTGTAGTTTCAATGGCAGAGCTTATAAGGTCAATTCGCAAATAATTACGGAACGAGATTACGACTACGAACATTTCAACAAAGACAACCCTTTCCTGACAGATAATTATCATTATCTAAATGTTTATAATTGTGGCAGATATTGTCTGTATGTATTTGTTTTTCCAGCTTAAAGACAATACTGCATTGTACAACAACATTTGATATTAAATATTACTCTGAATATTCTTACACTAAACCGGCTGAAGTGTTGATATCAGACCGATTTACTACATTTTAGAGTACTAAAGGAATAATGGCATGAATAATGGATAATTACTGTGAACGATTCATTCACAATACATCAATCAGTGTATTTTAAGTTTACGGCTGAAAAACACAACACAAATATAGAACGTGGAATATTATGTTAAGCAGTTATGGAGAATAGATGTTGGGAATCTATCAATATGACGATATGCTTGGAACTCTCTCTTGGAGTTGTAGTTATTGATTAATGCACTCGGAGTTTGCATGTGCATCATTGCTTTTTACAATCTATTTACTACCAGTTTGTGTGCAGCATTGGCATTCATCTATAAAATGCCCATCTACTCAATTATATATATATATATACTAAACCATCTTCGAGTATAATTGAAAAAAAACGTTGTAATTTGTGCTCAAATATATAAACTATGATAATATACACCAGGTAGTTGGTGTTTCACAGGCACTTCATTGCACTAAAGGTTTGCATGTACTTTATTAACAGTTGCACTGTGTTTTTTATCAATGACATAACACGTTTAATGCACTGTATGCTGCTTGTATCTCAGTGTCAAGTTTAAAATATAGTCACGCAATCCCATTGTATGTCACATAAATTGAAATTATCTCCTGAAGTTTTATTTTATCTTTATTTAGAGATATCTTACATTTTATTTTGCTAACAAAGTATGTTATTTTACCTTTATTCATGTCTCTTTCGTCATAGCACATCCGGATCGTACATTAAACCTTTATATTTTATAATCGCGAATTAACCACGAAATTCACGTACTGTGCAATAAATAGTGTCAACATTCTGGTGTATAATTGTAATCTTTCGTTTTGAAACTTCCCAATAATCTGAATGTTCCTACGATACCTCACCTTGTGTTACAAAATAAATTAATTTTGAATAAAAAAAATAGTAGAAGAAGTACGTTTATATGAATGGTGGGTTAAACGACTAATGTTGGTTATTGTTATTTCAGTTGAAGGAGGCTGTGATCCTGACCCGTGTGTGAATGGTGGTACTTGTACTGATGTCGGTGCAAACAGTTTCATGTGCCAGTGTCTGCCAGGTTTCTTAGGAACATTTTGTGAAAACGGTGAATAAGATTTCATTGACCAGAAATGTTTTAATAAACACTTTTATGTTTAATCGGCTTCATTTGTTTAGACTTTTGGACGAAGTCAAAATAAAAATAAACTAAGTTCGATTGTAGAACCATTTGTTAAGAAGCCTGACTCAGGGTTCGAACATGTCTCTTCAAAATCACATGTAGATTTATGAAGTAATGCATATTGTATTTTACAGACGTAGATGCATGTTTGAGTGGGCCATGTCACAATGACGGAACTTGTTATAAAACTGGAAGTGATTTTGTTTGTGTATGCTCATCTGGGTGGACTGGAACGCTATGCGACATCAGTAAGTTGATTGCAAAAAGAGTGTATAAACATATTCATTCATATTATCACTTTTGAACAACATAAACTTACGTATCTACTATTATTTTGTTCAAAGATATTGATGAATGTTCTCCCAATCCATGTGAAAACGGAGCGACGTGTCAAGACGAAATTGTTGGATTTACTTGTCTGTGTCCGGAGGGATATTTAGGAAGATACTGTCATATAGGTATCTCCAAATCAAAACATTTTTCATTCCTTTAATCCTCTATATTTTGTTATATTGTACACGTGCTTATTTGGTAAAATACACATATCTATCATAGGCGCAAGAATGCATTAGTGTCACCTGAAATCAATTTGAATAAATTTGTTTGTGCGACACTACTGGAATAACTAGTTATACATTTATTCAGAGGTGGATAACTGTTTGTCAGACCCGTGTTTTAATGGTGGATTATGCTACAATACTGGTGGTGGGGCATATGAGTGCATATGTCTGTTTGGATATACTGGATTACATTGCGAAACAAGTAAGTATTATTTGTGTAATTTTACAAAAGCACTAATGTAATTGTGTTATTGTACTCGTGATATGTTTTTTTTTTTCATCTACAAAATTACATATTATTCAGACATCTCATTAACTGATATATTCGTTTAATGATAATATACAATCGTGTTCTAATCAGCCATAAATCGCTGTACCAGTGGCCCGTGCAAGAACGGCGCAATTTGCCAAAACATGGTAAATGGTTATTTGTGTCAGTGCGCTCCAGGATGGGACGGTGATACGTGTGAAATAGGTTAGTAATGGAAACAAATATATTAAACGTATATTTAATACATAACAGAGAATTCACTTCATAAAATCAATTTTTATATTGTATAATCGGGAACTCGGTAACGAATAACGCTTTTCATTTTATTTGCAGACATAAACGAGTGTTTTTCTGGTCCTTGTTTACATCGCGGTACATGCGATGACGATGTCAATTCTTATATATGTACATGCACAACTGGATGGAATGGCAATAACTGTGAACTTGGTAAGTTATATGCCAACTAATTAATATGCCTACTATCAGTAACTGCCCAATCGAAGAGGTAGTAGATCAGCATAAACATATAGTTCACCACTGTTTGTGTCCCCAGCCCCCTATCCGTTGTGTTTTATACGCAATATTTTTCATCGTTAACTTTTGGTTTCGTCTAAGATATAAACGATTGCTCGCCGAATCCGTGTATGTACGGTGGAACATGCCACGATATCGGAACAAATGCCTATATGTGTTTCTGCAGCGAAGGATTCGCCGGAGAAAATTGTGAAACGGGTAAGAAAATACAATTCTGATTGATTTTTGTCAATATCATTGAATACGAAATATCTGCTGTGTTTTGTCAGTAACATGTACACATTTTGGTGACTGAACAATTCAGTATACTGTACAATGAATAATAATTGCGCTCAATACAAAATTTGAACTTACGATCACCTGCTACTGGCCACGCCACATTCGCCGTCGAAGGAAGAACAATTCGAAATAGGCGTGTAAGTTATTTTTAACAAGACACTACTGTCTAGTTGAGATTTCCCCCATGAGACAGTTCTGTTATTGTCCCACAATTCCACATTCGTTATATGTTATTTTTTTAACAGTTATTGATCGATGTGAAAGCAATCCCTGCATGAATGGTGCACAGTGCATATCTACCATAAATTCCTACGTGTGCGTTTGTGAGGTTGGGTGGACTGGTCAAAACTGTGAACTAGGTATTGTATTATTGTTGTTATTTTGAATTCCTGAATGTGACAGTGATCATCAGGTTAGCAATGTATACTCTTTTAACGATTGGTGGGACTATGTTACACAAAGATTTATAACGATACATGCATTCGATATTCCTATTAAAGTATGGTCACATGCGGTGTAGATTTCATACAATTTACACGCATGCGTCAATCAAACTTGCTTTGACCATTAGCATCAGAGAACGTCATAAAAGGGTTGATTGAAGAACGTAACTGAAGGAGGTTATTAGACACGCGATTTTATTTTAAAACTCTCGGTTTTGTTTTTCTATCTGTGGGAAAGTCCTAGCTAAGATCACAGTCAATAATGAAATGTATGATAACTAGAGGGTATTTTGTTGATGCACAATAATAATATTGTTCCTCATTATCGTCTGAGTAGATCTTGTCACCACGTTGCGCCAATGAACGGGCAGCGTACATTTATTTATTATAAATTATATTTGTATATAGACATCAACGAATGCTCATCAAATCCCTGTATGCATGGTGGCGCATGCGTAAACGGCTTGAATTATTTCACATGCAGCTGTGCGTCTGGGTGGACAGGAGCTTACTGTCAAAACGGTAAGTGGTATATACGACAATTAAAACAACGGTATGTTGCGTTAAAGGAATTATGTGTGAAGGAAAGATAGTAAACTTGAATTGGTTGTGAAGTGTATTGTCATAGAACACATATTCAATAAATGCATTATTATCGCATCTACTCCAACAGATATAAACGACTGTGATCCGAACCCGTGTTACAACAATGGTCAATGTGTGGACATGGGAGTTGACTACTATGAGTGTTACTGCAGTGCCGGTTACACTGGACAACACTGCGAAGACCGTAAGTAACATTGTCAGTTGTCATGCCAACAAGAAATAATACGTGGAGTCATTTTAAGACGCGACAGTTCAAAAATGGTGTGAATAATATTCTCATTTGTTCTAGTGATTAATTATTGCGGTAGTCATCCATGTAAAAATGGCGCAACGTGTATGAATGGCCTGCAATTCTACGCTTGTAAATGTGTTACGGGCTTTACAGGATCAGATTGTGAACTGGGTAAGTAGTGCCTGAATACTCCCTTGTCATCAACCTAGAACAAATATTTCGATGTAACCATTCGCTTTACAGTCAACAAGTTATCGACACGATATCGTGAGATATGACTTGGTGTGGCATGTTGAATGTGGAGTTTATAACAATTGTATTTTCATATAATTCTTAGATGAACCTGATTGTAGACCCAACACGTGTTTAAACGGAGGTACTTGCATCGATGGAGTTAACTCATTCAGTTGTGTATGCTCGCTTGGATATACGGGAACATACTGTGAAATAAGTGAGTCCACATAATGTATACACACATTCACCGAAATTTAAACATTAGCGTCAATCATATGTATCAGATTTTTACTTCATATGAATATAATTTATTCATAAAAGCAACATTATCAATACGTTAAACGGTACTTTTCTCAGACATAAATGAATGCGAACGGAATCCCTGTATTAATGGTGGTGCTTGTATTGATGGAATTAACACGTATACTTGTCACTGTGCATCGCAGTACACTGGTAGAGACTGCGAATCTAGTGAGTACATCGACTTTATTTTGTTGAAAAGAAAGAAAAAACAAGTTAACAGTTAGTTGAAAACAAACTGCACAATCATATGTAAAGATATGCTCGAACATCACTGCGTATATATTTCACATAAATTTGTTATATTACATGAGTAAGTTGAAACAGTGCGCAACTGGTTTATAGTGTTGCGGTACTGATACCAATCTACACGTCTTTCAGGGATTGATCCGTGTCAGTAACCCGTGTAAGAATGGTGCCGTGTGCATTAGTCGCGTGCTTACATATACATGCACATGTGCTCAAGGATGGATGGGAACATACTGTGAGGAGGGTACGTATTCCGTTTATTCCTGCTTTGGGTTTTGAAAATAGAAACGAGCGGAAGTCTTACAAGAAATCGTTTAGCTACGGAATAGAGCTGTAGTAAGCATTTGAATTAACTGCATATCTTCTTAATATCAGATGATTTAAATTAGATATTCTTTTGTGTAGATGTCAACGATTGTATACCTAATCCATGTCTAAATAACGGAGTATGCAGAGATACTGGTACAAATAGTTATATGTGTATTTGCCCAGTGGGTATGACTGGTCAACGGTGTAGTGAAGGTAACAACATTGCTTCATAATTACTAAATAATCAAAAAAGCTTGTGTTTTATTTTGCTATATATTATTAACCGACGTGTATATGAGTAGTAATTGCCGAAATTATGTTGGTCGGGTTTTATGTGTCAAAGCACTATCATATTGTATGTGTGTTTTTTTATTGAAAATCAGGCATGTTGGTGACTTGAATCAGCATATTTTACGGACCAAACCTGACTAAGTTTCGTTTTCAAGTGTGTGTGTTTTTCTTTTTATCTGGAACACAGCAATTATCCGTTGTGATTGCACTGCATTGTAGCTAGCTTTGCGTTGAGGATAGTGTTATAACCGCGGTTGAGAACGTTTTTTTGTGTGTTTTTTTCGCCTACATTTGGTGAAACATGATGATTTCTGTGGGAACCGTGTCGAGGTGTCCAATTACCTTTAAGCCGGTCCGTTCCTGTTGCATTGTGACATCAGAGAAGCTATGAATATCATGAATTGTAGAACATCGACATTCCAATTTACAATCATATGTATGGTACAATATGCCACTGCTGACTGTCGTGAAATGGGTACCGGCCAGTTACATATACATACGTTTGTCAATTGAATATCGTTTACACCCCTCGGATACAATTGAATATCAATATATGCACATACGCAGGTATCAATGTGATCGAGAAATCGCACTTTACTAACTAACTGACTGGTTAAAATGTAGTGTTAAGTAAACGCTAGTAGGAGTATCTTTTTTTTAATTTTTATAAAATAATTAGATTTTTAGCGGCTGAATTATAAAGAATCAATAGTACCTTTCGTTTATTTCAGCTATTAACAATTGTTTGAGTGGTCCTTGCCAGCATGGTGGAACCTGCACGTCTGCAATGAATGCATACAATTGTTACTGTGCATCGGGATATGAAGGGGTAAACTGTGAGATTGGTAAGTATGGGGCAGTTTTTATGACTAACTACTAGACACTTAGACTAGTAACTGAGTGTTGATAAAGCTAAATATTGGTCTAATCATATATTATAACATATATACGTCGGTTTATTTTGCATGGCTTGTATTTGTAATACGTCACACTTTCGCCCCTCGACTATCCGACATAAAAACACCCCTTCTAAACATTCACACGCATGCAGCATGGTAATTTCTAATGACAGAAGTATCATGCTAAGCAACCGTTGATTAATCAAAAGATTGGTGATCATTATATCCCGGGAGCCACGCTGTCCACCAGCAGGGTATTACGTACACAACAAGATGTATATAAATTCGTTGAGTCTCGTCAAATCTTACTCAATACACAATAATACATTAGGGTTAAATGGCCGTGGAGATCTCGTGGAATGCGAGAATGCCACGTACCTTGTTTTTGCCCCTTGATTATTGTTCCATTGTCTTCCTTCATCGCATCAGCTGTGTTACCATGGCAATTTGAACAAAGTGCATGACGTCGGACATGAAAGTAACACCATTTGAAGACCAAAAACAAGTCTCGCGACACTCTCGCTCTCAACGAGATCTCAAATGCCGTTCTCAATGAGATTTCAGAGAAATTCGCCTCTACGAGCAATTGTTAGTAAAATACTTGTATTACGCTGTGCATGCTGGGCGATGTCGTCTTATTATCCGGTGTTACCTCACAGGATGATTGGCGTTTTCCCCCACTAAATCCACTGAAAAGAAAATGTATTAACACCAAATCTATATGTATTGTTGTTTCAGACATAAACGAGTGTTCCTCAAACCCTTGCCGTCATAGTTTACAGTGTATTGATGGGCCGCATTTGTATCACTGTGTATGTGAACCAGGTTGGACTGGCGATAACTGTCAAATAAGTAAGTGAACTGCTTTAAAGTAACCTAATAATTGAGTAATATATTGCAATATACTGATATACTGAGCATTTTGGTATCATGCGATATATGAACAATGTGTACGTAGTCTGGTTAGGTTATTTTACGGCATGGCATTTCCTAAATTTCACTCAATAGCGAGTTTGCGTGAAAATATCGTGTGTTTGAGAGTATGCCTTTGTAAAGTGAAATTAACTAAGAATCAGACAGCGTTGTTGTTGTTGTTGGTTGTTGTGATGTAACATGAATGTAGTAAATACGTGATGACTGCAACTTTTTGTATTTTTTGTTTTGCACTTCCAGCTTCAGTTTTCTTCTACTGATATTCGTCAACTTTCCCGAGTTTCCAGACTGAACACTTTATACAAAGTTTTAACTATTTTTAACTTTTTCATATTATTTAATGACACAATCAGAATTAAACATATAAGCATATATGTTCGTTGAGTCAATATTCAATGAAGTGGTGTTTTGAGTGTAGATGTTTTTAATAGATTTTCTCTATATTCCAGTAATATATCAATAGAAAAACATCTAATGTAATACAATATACATTGATGTACGCCTATGGCAATGATAATTTTGTTGTAAATATAGGCTTTTTAATTGAATTATTTGACTTTCATATGTCAGTACTGTTTGGTAGGCACAAATATCGTTTTCGGTCAAATAACAAAATTATGTGCAATTGTATTGGCGTGAAAATCTATTTATATAGCTGTAAATGCTTCTCATCTTTTTTGCTTTGTTGTTTCGTTGCAGATATTGATGAATGCGCACATCACAACCCCTGTAAACACGGTAGTACGTGTATTGATGGAATTAACTCACATACATGTTTATGCACTGATGGATATATTGGAACCAATTGTGAACTTAGTAAGTAACGGACATACATACATATGATATGAAACAATAGTGGTTTTAATTGTTATGAATACAGTGGAGATAAGTGTTTGTTGACTTGAATGGCGTTGTCGGATATTACTTAGAGATTAAATAACGAGTCAAGAACAGCATGTGCGCAATGATAGACGACACGCGGTCCGACCGAGCCTTGTCATCTAAAATAATGGTTCTTTATTTCAATTATAATTTATGGACTGTCGAAAAATGTATTACATGATAACCTTTGTTAATATGAAAAATGTGGGTTGGCTCATTGACATGTCTTACTTGAGAAAGAGCTTTGGAATATTCACAGAGTTGCTGTTGAACAATAATATGCAAATATTATTGTGTTCCATAACTTACCATAAATGATATGTGTAATTGCTTATTGTACTTGATTTGTTTAAATTAGTTGCACTGCATAGTTGTTCGCCTTCGCCTTGTCTCAATAACGGCATATGCGTGTATTCTGGAATGGAAGTATTTTGTCAATGCAGCAATGGCTGGACAGGACAGATCTGTGAGACACGTGAGTACATTGAACACTGTAATTATTGTATTCTCGGGGTAGACTGTCTACCTCGGGGCGGGGTTACGTCACAAGACGTTCCACGTTACTAAGACGCGCACCACTGCACCATGTATTTCTAGGGGCGGTGCGCGAGCTGCTGTAGAACGCCGGGCGAAGAGCCAGCGAAAACCGCTAAATTCGAGAAAACAGTACAAACTTAACGTAACTTTGAAGTAATCCTGAACAACCAAATTTATATATTCTGCACACACAGGGCTAATCTTGTTACACCGTTCAGGGAAGTCTCAACAACAATCCCAAAGTACCGTTTTCTGAGAGTTTTTGGCCTTTGTTTTCACCGTGATGGTTGCCAGGCGGTGAAAATGCCCGGATCTGCCTACACTAACATGTAATGGGGTCTAATGCAAAATTCGAATAGCAGGCCCACCGTAGAACATCACTACAGTCGCGTAGGGAAATTACAAGTACACTGTACAACAGTAAACAAAGTACATACCAGTGTATCTATGTACTCTGCCTATCAGTATATTCCAAATATGATTGACATTTTATTATGTGGGTAAGTATTATATTTGAACAATAAATTAAAAAAAAAGGATAACGCTTCTATTTGTGAAAATATAGTGGGCAAGGTTCCCATCATGCATTTCAATCACTACTATATACACAGGTGATTGATCTAGGTTACATCGCAAGCATCCCCCGTCCCTGTGCACATTCTAATACGACAATAATTGCTACAAAATTATTGTCAAAATCATATATTTAAATATTCTTCCCGAACATAAGTGTCAATGGACTCTGATTGATGAATGTTTTTCGCTGATAAACAGGCATTAATAATTTATATATATTGCCGTTACGTTACAGAGTAGTTTCCATTATATCATGTTTAAAACAATAGTCAGTTATTATGACAAATTTTACTAGGTCAGTTCGCGGTCACAGTACTAGAGTAGTTTTTATTATATCGTGTTTAAAAGAATAGTCAGTTATGACTAATTTTACTAGGTCAGTTTGCGGTCACGTTACATAATAGTTTTTAATTAGGTCGTGTTTAAAAGAATGGTCAGTCATTAATATACACACTCAAACCAGTTATACGATTTGGGCGTTAGATTTATTTCGATAACAAAGCTTTATCATTCAATGACGTTACACACTCGCCATCTTTGTTACTTGGACACTCAACTAACTTAAAGCATTGTTTTCAAATGCACAGATATCGATACTGTAGATACTCCCTGCGACTCCAACCCATGTCAGTCAAGAGGTGCATGTAGAACTAATCAAGAAGGCAGTATGTATTTCTGCGAATGTATTAACGGATGGGAAGGCAAACACTGTGAAATACGTACGTACATACAACATACAATAAGCAGGCCATTATACAAACTATACTTCGTACTGTACATGTGTATCTGATTTTCGACAGCCTTTCAATTCACTTACACATAACTTCAGATAAGGTTGAAATGATAATATGGTGAAAAAACTTTTATTTTAGCTGTACCTGTGTTCACAACGTCCGGCCCCGTAGTTCCAGAACCGTGTGATTCAAGTCCATGTGCATCTGGATCAACGTGTGTTAGCAGTACCGACAGCAGTGCATATTTCTGCATATGTCCTCCAGACAAAGAAGGGCTACTCTTGTGACAAACGTAAGAGTTAATATTTATATCAACAAAGTTATTTTTTATTTTAATGTATAAATATTATAACTTCACCTTGTATATTTCTATGTATAGCCATTTCAACGCTCAATCCGTGTTTAAGTGCGCCCTGTTCGCATGGATCGTGTGCCACCCATGTAACAGATGACTCGGCTTTCTTTTGTGTGTGTGAATCTGGTTGGACTGGTACAACATGCCATACTCGTAAGTTAGTTGTTGTTGTTGTACCATGTTAATGAAACATACCTACGTGTTGCTATTATTTGAATTTATATTGCAAAATGCTATTTTCATTACGTAAGAGTACACTATCGATCATTAGACGTGCCAATAACAAACATGGCGACTGACTGTGTGTCTACGTGTTCCATACTTGTATTGAAATGTATCGGATGTGTTATTATTGCAGCCATTGTATCCCCCAACTCGTGTAGTTCATTGCCCTGTCAAAATGGCGGTACGTGCATACAGAGTGACATAGGGGACATGTATTCATGTATCTGCGAAGAAGGGTTTATAGGACCAAATTGCCAAACAACCAGTGAGTCTTTTTTCACACAATCATTTGTTTGTATATCCTTGCCCATATTTTGGCATTCCATAATTCGAATGCATTGATAATAATATAACGTGATGAATTACCAAATTGAGCTTGAATATTGTATATCACAGACTTTTATATTCAGAGATATAGTGGAGAATTGTTTACCTTTCTTGTATTGTTAGAGG